AAAAATGAAGCTACGGATTAATACAAATGATTAAAAGTTCAGGTGTATAGGGTCTGCTTGTCTTGAATTTAGTAAATCAAATTTTTGTTGTGAGGATGGGAGGCTTGCTTTGTGTTGCTAATAAACAACAGGAATTCCTGGCATGGAGAGAATTCTGGTGCCCCTTCCTCCCCTCCCAGAGTCGATCTGAGAGAGTTAGTTGGCGCGTTGCCCAGCACAATTAGCTCACCTTATCTCCTTCGCCCGAAGAAAAGGTAAACAAGCTGTCAGACGGATGGTGGATTGCTCATCAGACAGTTTAACGCAACCAGGATTCCAGAACTGTAATGACCAGCTCCCACCAGCAAGCCCCCCCCCCCCACCGGAAGCCCAAAAATCTGAATTTTTTGAGGTAGCTCTTCCAACAAGGATTTGATTGCTATTTGGAGATGACCATGTGGCTTATTAATGTATGACTTCTTTCTAAAGTAAAAAGCCAGTTAATTTTATAATTGTTTCCTAAATGTTTTAAGCTGATGGAATGTCCAGTTTTGCCATGTTGTTTTTTTGACTTCGTCTGTTGCCACCAGGGGGAGATGTTTACTTTTGTTACCACAATAAAATTGGTGCCTCCTTTAGAAAATTAAAAAAGAGTGAAAGGAATTATGGCTCCTTAAACCTTTCCCTTTCTTTTTCCCCTTCCTTTTCCTTTCCCCTTCCTTTCCTTTCCCCTTTCCTTTTCTTTTTACCTTCCTTTCCTTTTTCCTTTCCTTTTTCCCTTCCCTTCCTTTCCCTTTTCTTTTTCCTTTCCTTTCCCTTTCCCTTTCCTTTCCTTTCTTTTCCCTTTTCCCTTCCTTTCCTTTCCCCTTTCCTTTTCTTTTTCCTTTCTTTTTTCCTTCCTTTTCTTTTTCCTTTCCTTTCCCTTTTCCTTTCCTTTTTCCCTTTCCTTCCTTTCCCCTTTCCTTTGCTTTTTCCTTTCCTTTCCCTTTCCCTTTCCTTTCCTTTTTCCTTCCTTTTCTTTTTCCTTTCCTTTCCTTTTTCCTTTCTTTTCCCTTTCCCTTTCCTTTCCTTTTTCTTTTCCTTTCCTTTTTCCTTCCCTTCCCTTTGTGTGTGTGGTGGACAGAAGCCCAAGACCAGTATGAAATATGTGGATCAAAAAAAAAAAAACCCAACCTGGATCTGCAATACATTTCTCACTCCTTGATAGGTCTGCTTTCTGCAGTGTGTCAGCCAATCAGATATTTCATTTTCTGAGTACTGATACAGTCTACCAAGTCAATTCTGTCCCCCGGTTTTGTGAGTTTCCTTTTCCAACCAACATTCTGGGCTTACTGGGGTCACATACCACGTTTGTTCTTCACTGGGTTAATTGGTGGCTGAATTCCCCCCCCCCTCTGCTTTTCAAGTAACTTGTACATTGTTGAAGGAGCCATATAAATGCACAGTATCCCTCCCTCCTGTTGTTCATTGTACCTCTTCTGCTTCCAATCTAGTTGGCATGGGAGGCATTTGGTTTGCTATTACGTTTGCTATCCAAACTAATTAGAGATCGATTAAAAGGTTGTTTTTGTTCCTTGGCTAAATTATCTAACATTTTCCCTACCGTATTATTGCTCAATTTTGATGCCAAGTCCAATGAGCAGAGGAGGCCAACTGGTAAAGAGACACGTTTATTTAGCAACAAAGGCCAGATCCGCCTTACAACAGCAGATAGTAGCGCTGGCAAAGTCATAGAGGTAGTGTTGTACTTACAACAATTAGTTTGGTAACTGTTCAAAGTTACAGTGGCACTGAAAAAGAAGGGACCTCTGACCCATCTTTGCAACTTATGACCATCACAGCATCCTCACAGCCATGTGATCGGAATTCAAGCACCTGGCAACTGGCATGTATTTACGACAGTTGCAGTCTCTTGGAGGCGGGGGGGGGGGGGTGTCACGTGATCACTATTTGCAATCTTTTTAACCAGCTTCCAATCAGCAAAGTCAACGGGGGAAGCTAGATTCACTTAACCACGTGATTTGCATAATAATGGCAGTGATTTGTTTAACAATCTTGGCAGAAAAGGTCATAAAATCAGACACGATTCAGATATGTGGGAAGCCCCCCTCTTAGAAGAATGAAATATTTTGAGGAATATTAAAAAGGCAAGAAATTATATTTCCCTAAATGAGAAATGAAGAAACATGGTTTTTTTAAAGGCAGAAAGCAGACTCAGTCTAGCGGCCTCCCCCCGAAGCAGATATTTTGTACCCATTAAGAAAGAGTAGGCCAGCCTATCAACAAAACAAAAGACCTTCAGCTTCAGGGTGATGGGATTAAGAACAGGATATGATCCTTCACGGTGTAATAGGATTAACCCACTACCATTTAGCAGAAGACACAGAGCTCACTACGTTGCACAATCTCCTAAGGATATTTCAGTCATTGCATCATCTCACAGCAGTCCAAACTTCAACCAAACCTGGGAGCTCAGACAAATACTAGATTTGCAGCCAGCTATGACCCCTACATGGCCCCATGGGAGTCTAACAACAACGGATAGAACACATGTTCTTGCCCAGGAATAGGAAGCTTAAGTGTAAAGCCCAAAAGAAGGTATAACACCCCCTCACTCTCAATTCCATTTGGTCAGTTGCAACAGAACTACGTGCTTGGTGGTTCTGTTCATCAATATATCATCTTTCCAATCAGCCTCCATGTTTGCAGTGTCTTTCTCCTGTTGTGACTCAGCAGATGTCTGCTGTGAGTCTTTTCAGGATACAAGATTCATTATGCAGCTGGGACTGGTTACAGGCAAGTTTGGAGATAAATGGACGGATGCTGCCACGCCCTGGTCGCAGGAGTCATACGTTCCTTCGTGTGTTCCTTGTTTGGTACAACATTGTTTGATTATTAATCGTGATTTATGGAAGATACACTTGGATAAGTGCTTTGGTGTTTCATGTAACCCTGATTCGTGGAGACTTTGGAAGAAGTGCATTGTTTTTAAGAGTTGTTTTGTATTCTGTTATCTGCTTGAAAGAGACTGTTATTTCTGTTATTTTGGGGCTCGAAGCCAGTTTGAACTGAGAACTGATAAAGAAAGTTTCTTTTAAGATTAATTGTCTGCCGTTTGTTAAGAGCCGTGAAGGAGGGACAGAACATTCTCCCATCTTGGAACTCAACCAGATGGTTATTTCTTCCAACAATTAACGTCCATCTTGCTTTAGCCGTGGTAATTCTGGGTCCCAATTGTGATTGTAAGTTAAGGACTCACCTGTACTGCTTATAAACATGCATACATAGGATGTGCTCATTTTTCATTGGTTTACCCTCATTGAAGGATTAAACGTTACACTTTTTGTACATATGAAGATTTCTCTATGAGGGCAGTTAAAAGGCTGATTGGCCACTTCTCCCTCCTACAATATTCTGACATACTTACTAATGTATTATATTGATTGCTTGTATGTGATCAGGTTATTTTAAGTTCATGGATAAGGGGCTCTTCTTTGTCCATACGTACCAGTAATTCCATCATCTTTTTTTAATTGGTTAATAATATAAAATACAAAAACAAATAGTAGGAAAAATAAGGGAGGGAAAGAGGAAGGGAAGAGTGCAGAAAAGAAGGGAAAAAGAAAGAAAACTCATTGACTTACGACTACTTTACTACTCCCTTTGGTGTAGTAAAATAAGATAGTAACATCCAAACTCCACTTTTTACTTTTACATAGTGGTACAAACTAGCAATTTCTATATCAACAAATCTATCTAATTGGTAAAATCCAAAATCAAATCACCTCAAGCACAAAGTCCAGAAGTGATTTCCAAGTAGAAACCAGTAATTCCATAATCTAAGACTACTTGCACAAATTGGTTATAATAAACTTTTGGCTTAGACAAAGTTAAGAATAAAATAAAGGTGCTTTCTCTTTGAGCTTGACTCCTGGTGATCATAGAAAACAACCATACAATTTTCTTGAGAACAATATTGAAGTGACTTGCCACTGCTATTTCCTTATAATATGGACAGAGGCTGCAAAATAATTTCAATAAGACATATTTATCTAAATTAATGCAATTGCCTTGAATTATTATAAACAGAACCAAGACCACAATGTTCTTAAGGAGTCTGATACTCCATAACTAAAAATAGACATTAAAGCATAAGACATCAGTTGACAAAAGGCCAAAATGACTGCCTACATCTACAGGAAATGTCGATAGTTGAAATGAAAATGGGAGGGAGCATTATGGGAGAACTGCAGAAAGGTTCAGAGCAATCGTTAGTGTTTTCAGATGCTGATGAGAAAAAGAAATACCGATTTAACAGCATTTATTGCTTGAAAATAATCTCTCCCTAGTTCCCTTCTTATCGAGCAATTACATGAAAAATTGCAAATATTGTGAACTTCTGCAGCCATTTCTGTTTCTCTTTTTTAAATGAATTGGTCAACCAATTGATTAGTCAATTCAAAGCAGGAGTTTTCAGACAATTTCATGTAATCAGGCCTTAAAAAATTAAACAAAAAAAGTTGGAATCCTGGATCTGTTAAATGTCCCCTGTCTTATAAATTATATCTTTTTTTTAAAATGCTCTAAGTGACTTTGGTCTGTCATCTCATGATGTCATGGAGCTGTAGGATTCTGTGGAAGACAATTTGAAAAACCCTGGCAAAGCTCTAAAATTGAGTAGCCGGTCCCTGATTTAATACATATAATTGAATGCTCACTAATGCAACCTGTTTGATGAGGCTTTCCCTTCAATTGAAATATTCTTAGGTAGTTTACAGTTCCCCCAGTAATCCCCATAGCAAAACCACTTTGTTAAATTCCAGCTCTTCCTGTATGTTTATCCATTGGTGGCATATCAGTCAGACAAATCTGGATGGATCACTAAATGGCATGGGCATGGCCAAGAGATACAAAGCATTCCCTTTGCTCCCATCTAGTGGCGAAAATAAATGACCAGCCACTGACAATGGAGATTAAGGACAAAGGAGAAACAGAATACTATTTAATTTGGGATATACGGTACAATTGGCTTGATAATAGATGCAAAGATTAGAAAACTAATAATGAAAGATGATTAATGAATTAAAAATTAGAAATAAGTGTATGTATAATGGAAGATGAAGAATATTTATTTTATATAATATTATAATATGGTAAGATATTACAAAATTGTAAAAGGCAAAAAATATCTAGATTGATAACTATATAACATACATGTATGTATGTATGTATGTATAAATGTAAAAAAAATGTGGATATAAACTGTTATAGAGGTGTTGCAAAGCTGAAACTGATGTACAATGAAGAAAACTGTTTAAAATTTTTTTTTAAAAAAAGATGATCAGCCAACTCACAGTTACAAGGAATGTAAAAATGTTCCATTGGCATGAGTAAAATGAAGAAAACAGCACAATGCCTGTGTTAATTGGAGCACTGGGCATATCAGCTGGAGAAGGCTTTTCATGTGGTGGATGATGTTGGCCAGAGCTGGGATTTCAGAGAAGGGAACGACTACCAATTCATATTCCTTGGGCATGTGATGCACTAATGCTGCATGGACAGCAGTACAACCCCAACTCATTTTGGGTGCAAGCTAAGACTGTACTGGGGTAGAGGGCAAGATTTAGGGCAGCATGTTTTCCACCCAGGTCTGGGATAGGAGCAGAGCAAAACAGCTGCATGGAAGTGAAGTACGTTTGTGAATGAACTCCTACAGCAACTCAATGGGAGCAGAGGGACTTCCCAGATGTGTAATGGTGACCTTCAGTTGAAAATAAAAAAGGGGGAGGGGGAAGGTCAGATGGAGTCTCCTGGAATTCTAAACCAGAACATGATGTGCTATAACATTTTGGTATAGGTCTCATATCATTTCTAGAATGAGTATTTGAAAGTCCCCACTTAAATATTGAGGAAAGCTGCACTCCATCTGCGATACGCTGACATAAATAATATATCTTCTGACCTATAGCATGCCCTATAATATTGTTATAAAAGACCAAAATAAATCATTAAAGATACATATATTGGTAGTAAAAAAAAAATTATTTTCCGTTTTCATAACATATAATCACATGTATACTATTACATAGCCAATATCATATTGTATTAAGTAATAATTACATCAGTTCCTCTTGCCATCAACTCCCAGAAAGGTAAAACCAATTATTAGCTCTTCTGCTCTCCATACGCTACTTTCTTCTACCTCTCTCCTACCTCCTTTCTTCCCTCCATCATCCTTTTCTACTCTACTTCCCCTTCCTTTCTCCTTCTCCTCTCTCCTCATTCCATTCCTCCTTATACACCTCATCTTCCCCCTTCACCCTCTCTCCTATCCCTCTCTTCCTATC